CCTTATAAACGCAAATCTTTCTCGCATTCTCGAAACATCCCTATCTTTTCAGTTTCGTATCCTAATATAAACAAAGCAATTTCTAAAGAAGTGATGGAATTTTCATTTATTAATCCGACAGATTTTATTATTCAAACGTTATTTTTAGTGGATGCCCATATTTGAGTAGACGTTCTGTATATTTATTAAACAGTATACTTATTTATTTTCGTCTATCGGCCTTATTAAAGAGAAGGTGCGTTCTCCAGCAGAAATCTTATATCTTTAATAAGAACTCTTATCAAAGAAACTTATTAAAGAATTTTATGTTTCGAGAGTCGAAGAATGATTTGCATTTATAAGGCACTGTTCAACTTTGTTTAATCGCCTATGCACTCTAACGGCAGGTTCGAATCCAGCATACTTTACTTTAATAAGATTTGTGCAAAAGAACTGAAAACTGTGAAATTTGTAAAAAAAGAAATGAAAACAGTGAAATCTGTACAAAAGAAATGAAAACAACGAAATTTGTGCAAAAGAACCGAAAAAAGTGAAATTTGTGCAAAAGAAGTGAAAAAGATGAAATTTGTACAAATAACCGAAAACGGTGTAATTTATGCAAAAGAGATGAAAACGGTGAAATTTGTGCAAAAAAAATATGAAAAAGTGAAATTTGTGCAAAACAACCGAAAAAGTTGAAATGTCTGCATAAAACTGAAAAAGGAGAAATTTGTGCAAAAGAACTGAAAAAAGTGAAATTCGTGCAAAAAAAAAAAAAACGAAAAAGATTAAATTCGTGCAAAAGAACTGAAAAAGGTGAAATGTGTGCAAAAAATTTGAAAACAGAGAAATTTGTGCAAAAGAACTGAAAAGGGTGAAAATTGTGCTTTCTGACACACTCGAAAAAGAACTGACGAGTTTTACAGAGACTGTAGAATTATGAAGAATTAGACATGTAAGGAATTAGAAACCTAAGGAAGAAAAGGAAATCATCGATATAACAACATCACTAGAAATCAACTAGAATAGTGAAGTCAGTAGGGAGAGGGGCGTTTCTTCAATGAATCCCACCTGATTCGATTTATGTTAAAACGAAATCAGTATAAAATATTCACAAATAAGTTAAGTGCAATTTTTATACGTGAGTAAATATTAAAATATAGTATATCAATACATCTTTACCCAGATATTGACTCATCCTGGATACTCCAGTGTACGCACAAAGATGGTCTGACAGGAAATACTCGAAATTTCTCGCAACTTGTAAGCCCAGAGATCGAGGCATATCAATAAAAACTGCAAGATATATATAAGAAGGTAAAAGAAGAAAAAAAGAGAAAATGTAAAACAAAAAAAAAAAAAACGAGTGAGTGTAAAGTGACAAAAAAACAACGAATAGGACAAATAACTACAAACATTCTACACGTACGCACATACGCGCAAACGGGCGCTTGAGAGCACGCGCACGAACGCACACGCACATGCGCGCACACATATACTATGACGGAAAAACAAAAAAAAATGCACCAATGAAAAGTGCATATAAAAAAGAAAAATCGAGATGTATAAAGAGTGAATTGCTGATATCCCCTGAAGAGCGTCGGAGTGATTCCTGGAGGGTCCGTCTACGAAATTCTGGAGTCGGGATGCAGAAGATAACATCAATCGGCTAAATCGGTATTTTCCCGACCTCCCCACGAGGCAGGATTTGGCACAAGGCCGATTTTTATGTGGGGCAATCGGCTAAGTCACAAATTTTTTACCAGTATTAATTCTCTCTCTCTCTCTCTTTCTGCCTGTCTGTCTGTCTGTCTGTCTGTCTGTCTCTCTCTCTCTCTGTGTCTGTCTGTCTGTCTGTCTGTCTCTCTCTCTCTCTCTCTATATATATATATATATATATATATATATATATATATTGTCATCCACAAACAGACTGTATCACAGCTCATCAGTGTGGCTAGACATCTGGTTGCCTCTACCTAGGATCGAAATCCGGCTGAATTGTCATCAGTCGAAGAATCTATCGCTTAGCCGTTGGCGCACGACAAGGATGAAGGTGAATTTAAGCGTATTTATTTTTAGATTAAAAACGCCAGTGACTGAGAGAACTCGATTCGTTTTTTTCCCTGAATTTTCTTCTATCGCGAAGAACGGGTGTTCCCTCTGGAATCCCCCTGTGCCTTGAGCGCCTATTTGAAATTATGTTCGATACAGACATCAAGTGGAACTCGTACATACGATCAATCACTTACGCTCTGAACCGTTGTATCTTAGAAATGATTAAAGATATTTTACTGGAATTCGCCGAGGTTTTTATAACACTATTAGATTTTACTTTGAGAAATAAGAATGTATAATTACACTCTAAACTTAACAAGAATCGTGATGAAATCGATCATAAACGAAATTAACATGTTCATTAATTAATCATAGCTAAGGATCGGAAGCTCATGAAGGATTGAAATTGAGTTTATATATATATATATATATATATATATATATATATATTCCAGGATCATTTAGCAATTCATTCAAATGACCTTGCCCTTTCTAACCTTCTAACTTGCTGTTCTGGAGTAACAAGTCCCTCCTAGTTTCCACGTACAATTTCATTTTCAAGTCTTTTGTCACTGCTCTTTGGACTGTCATAGCTGAAACTCTTCACATGTCAAATGTCTTATGGATTGAGTTGGATCTTTTCTAATTGATCTCTTTAGCTCTAAGTTGAAATGATGATCCCTCTTCCTGTTGTGACCTCCTAATCCAGTTTTCTCCTCTACTGTTCCATCTTTTTTAAACTTATTTACCGTGTCTTAATCTTAATGGTTCTTGAATAGGCTTTGAAGATGGAGGCCAGAGTATGAATGTTGGTACCATTAATGAAAGCCTGAATGATCTTTTTCTTCTCACCATTGCTCAGTTGGGAAGACAGTGGGTCTGACACATGACGATTTTAACCTGTTCCGTTTCTAGCGGAATAGCTCAGAACATTTTTCAGTGATTCTTACGATAAATGGTGGGAAGATAGATAAATATCTTATCTGAAAACCAGGAGAAAAGAAATTTCATTAGTTTAGTAAACATTTCCTGGGATAGACGATTATGCTGTTACATGATTTGGATAATTTTGATGTTACACCAAGTATATATCTACACTCGTACATTCTTGCACACACGAGACAATATATCGAATATATGTATTTTTCATTGTTCTTCTTTATGTACCGTTTCCCCTCAGGACGTAGACGATCATGGCTCTCCACAATTTCCTGTCCTACGTAGCTCTTAATAATCATTTTCGATTTTTTTCGTTAGTTCTCCTAAACCCTGTTTCGCCATCCATTTTCTCAATCTCACTAGGTTATGGGTTGTTTTCCTCTGTCCCTCTTGCCTTCAGGTCTATCCTGTGAGTATCAGATTTTCCAAGCCGCCCTTCCTCATTATGTACCCAAAAAATTTCAATTGTCACTTCCAGATGTTAAGTATAGGTTTCTATTTTCTCTACAACATCGTCTTTGATCACATTTTCGGATTATGGTATCCTCAGTATCCTTCTGTAGAACCACATTTCTGTTGCTTCATGTTTCTTCTTCATCTTAGAGGAGATTGTCCAGCATTCCCTGTTATATAGGATGACAGATTCAGTAGGTAAACGTTCAGCACACTTTTCTATACATATATATATATATATATATATATATATATATATATATATATTCGATTCTTTAAGGTAATCGAATGTCTAGCCACACTGATGAGCTGTGAAACAACGAAGCAGTTTGTCTGTGGGTGACAATATATACATGCTCCCGAAAAAAATTATTTCGCTTGAGCTCTCGGGGCGAAAAGTGAATTTGTAAACAGTGACAATTACTGCTGCTGATGCAAGACTCTTCGTTAAGCCGAATCGAGTTCTCCTGGTCACTGGCGTGTTTATCTAAAAATAAATACATCTAAATTCACTTTCATCCCTGCCGTACGCCAAGGGGTAAAGTCTCCGACTGATACCAAATCAGTCTGGTTTCGATCCTGGCTTGAGGCAATCGGATGTCGAGCTACACTGATGAGCTGTGAAACAACGGAACAGTCTGTCTGTGGATGACAATATATATATATATATATATATATATATATATATATATATATATATATATGTATGTATATATAATCCCTATTGCAGGCGCCTATTCAGGCACATTTGTATCAGTTCAGCCACAGAGCCCATCCGTGTTTTAAAGTGCAACTATGCTGGGCGGACTTTCTGGCATGAAAAACAGTTTGAAGAGGACCATTACACTCAAAAGCTCGGTAGCAATGACTCACGACTTCGTGCACGCACAACCATCGCCACACAATTCCTTCTACACAATTTGACTCACATGGCTTCTGTCAACCCACGGGATAATTTTCAGGCACTTTCCAAAGATATCGCATGCTGAGATCGTCCCCTCAGGAAAATAACATCAAAAAATCACCTACTTGACAAAATCGATGATGAATTCGAACTCAGGGTGTGATTGTTGGAAATCGAACATTCTAACCAGTCTGAGCGCTCATATACACGAATTGCTTTTAGATATTTTAATTTCTTAAATTTAGATTGTTGTTTTTATGCGTGTGGGTGGGTGCACGTGTGTGTATACTGCATATGTATAAGTGATATTTTCTGTATATTTTTTGTATGTGCATGTTTGTTTCAACTATACTCAATAATTCTACTTTTTTTGGTTTGTTTTGTTTTCTTTTTCTTTGAGAGTAGACACAAACAACAATTTTTCTATTTTAATTTTACAACAATTTAATTTTATAGAGTTTTGTTCGTTTCATCTTACACTGGACACATTTTTAAGAGACCCCATTTATGTAAATTGCAAATCGTTTAACATAGATTCGAACATCGGAAAAATAATTAATACCATTTCTTGTGCTAGATTAAAAAATGTTTATTATTCGAAGCTTTCTTGATCACAAAGGCGGTCATTAGAATTTGTTTTTTTCAATCCTCTGAATCACTACACGAAATGTGGTCTCTCTGTCTCGCTGTCTGTCTTTCTGTCTGTCTGTCTCTCTCTCTCTCTCTCTCTCCTTGTCTGTCTGTCTGTCTGTCTGTCTGTCTGTCTCTCTCTCTCTCTCTCTCTCTCTGTGTGTGTTTCCCTTTTTTTTTAATCCCAGTTTTTCCACTTTCTGTATTTCTCGCTTCCAGTTCTTCATCGCCGGTCAAATTAGCTGACGAATGAGGCTGGACGATTTTGCTTGCTACCAAAGATCTCCGTAAATATTTGAACGGCTCCAATTCCGTCAACGGCTACAGCATCAAAATCCGCTGGAAGCTGTCTAATGAAAAACGGACAAGGCTTCGTTTTTTATTTTTTTTTTTTTTTTTTTCGAGTGGCGGACAGGAAGCGAATCCGACACATTTCCTTCTCTTGTTCAAATCGATCGCCATATCCGCCTCCCCCACCCCCTAGTCCCCTACCAGCTGTCCTCCATCTCTTCTACTCACTGGAAACAGACTGTCTTTCCGCTACTGTGAACACTGGTATCGATTCTAAATAAGAAATGTGTTTTACTTTACGGTCGCTACTTTTAGTTCGATGAATTCTATGGCCTGTGTAAGTGACCACGAGCGTTTCCTATATTAAGATTGGTCAAGGGTCCGAGGTTGATGCAAAAGTTTCTAGCATACCTCGATAATATCGTTTAGTCATATAAATTCATAGCATCATTATTCAATCTTCAAAGTATTGTTCCTCGCTAAGAAATGACGCCATCTTTCAGCTAAATTGTATATTCCAATCTATTTTTAGACAGGTATTTTTTCCTCTGGGACATAGACGACCAAATCTCGCTCAGGTATTTTTTTTATGTCTTTATCATCAGCTGTGGTCGTAGGAGCGCAACTGATCACCTGCCCAGTTTCCTCTCTGTATATGGATGAGAAGCCTGAGACGCATCATTCATGCGTAGCGTGTCTTATAGGCTAGTAGACCTGGCGGAGCGTATCCTTCTCCAGATCAAACCACAGTCGAAGTTTAAGGCTAGCCTTAGTCACGGAGTTTGTATATTTTATCAAGGGGAACCTCCGCTCTGGCCGTGGACTTCAGCCCTCTTCCCAAAAATGCCGTGCCAACCCCGTACTGACTGAATACTTAAACACAGACCCCAGTTTACCCTATTGTGCTAGATGACCGTTGACCTGACAAGAAGTTTCATTCAGGTCTTTTTTTTTAATTGTATAACCCCCTTCATCACCAAAAAAGCCTGGTTAGGGATTTTTTTGTCGCCGATGACCCGAGTAAGCAGCAAGCAGTACTGGGTTACATGCTACCAGTACAACTCTTATAGTAAAATGTTCATTATTACGTGTGAACTGCCATGCATTCTTGGAAAATATAGCAAAATGGTTTCCCGTTGCCTTCTGAACGATTTTTTTTATTCCAGATTATTTCGAGTCTGGCTTCTATCCCAAACCTGAGAGTCTATTCTAGCCTGCTATTTAACCCATAGCTTGAAGAGAAAAGAAACATATTCACGCCTTTCCAAGGGGGGCATTTGTGCGAAAGTGTGAGTGCGTGCGTGTGTGCATTTGTGTTTGCGTATGTTCGAGTTTGCACGCGTTTGCCCGCGTGAACACGTGTATATATGCAATGTTTCCACCAATTTTTACAAAATCTTTTATTTATAGTAAATTTATACTTATATTATAAATTCATTTATATTTATATATTCATTTATATTATATTTATATTATATATTATATTTATATTATATTTATATATTCATTTATATTTATACTAGCAGTAGAGCCCGGTGTTGCCCGGGGATGTAACAGTAAGAGATAGATCAAATATCGACCATCATAAAGACTGAAAAATAAAATTGACAAAGATTATTGTTTAAGGTTGACGGACACGCATGTCTTAATTAGTTTTTCTTTTTTTTTGTTGTTTTTTTTTACGAATTGGTCAAACCCAAACTCAAACAAAAACATTGTTTTCCATCGTTATGAGTCTACCGATTAAATAGAATTTTATTATAAACAATTGTCTTGTAAATGGAATTTTTAAAGCATTCTGAATGTAAAAATAAAGCAAAAAGTGTGCAAGACAATAAGAAACACTACCTGCCAAAAAAAGGTTTTGTTGAAATCGGTTGAAAAATGTAGGAAATCCGATCCCATATATAAACGAACACACACCGCACAAACTGGGTTTTGTAACTCGATATGAGTTGTCCCCCTTTCATTCTGGCGACAGAATCGTGTTTTATCGTGTTTTCAAATTGATTTCGAGCAAAAACAATTGTGTTTTTCCAATTTTTGGTGCTGTCAGAACCACCGCAAGGTAATTTTACACAGTCCTGTGAAGTTTTGTTGAAATCAATTGAAAAATGTAGGAAATCCGATCCAATATATAAACGTACAGACACACACACACACACACACACACACACAATCTGCGTTTTATAATAAGTAACATTATATTATATTTATATTATATATTATATTTATATTATATATTACATTTATATTATATATTTATATTATATTTATATATTCATTTATATTTATATTATATATTATATTTATATTATATTTATATATTCATTTATATTATAAATTCATAGCATCCTTATGCAGTCATGAATGTATTTTCCAAGGCTTTTTATGATGTCATAAAGTTTTAGAAAAGAGCAGTAACAGCTACTGGTATTGAGAAACCTATTTTATTGAAAGATTTACTTAATGGAAAGATTTTATAAATTTCTACAGTAAGCAGGACTAGTTGCAATAGTTTTATTTGCGTTCTGCCCGAAGACAAAAACACAAATAAGATATAAAATGTACATCATCCGTCCGAAGGCAGATACTACACTTTGATCTCAGCACAATGTCCAGGGATTGAAGAAAGCCGTAACTAGAGTAGCATTGTCTGCACGATCAATCAATGTGCTATTATTATAATTACTTTTACCATCACATTTTTTAGCTAAATTTTATATTCCACTTCGCAAAAAAAAAAATCCAAATTTTGATTATTAGAGAAATTTTTCGAGAATATTTTCAGTATCTTAAAAAGGCCGAAGTAGCTCACTAGATCAAGTCATTGTTTAAGAAAGACAGACCTTAAAACAAAAACTGACCATCCTAATTCCTTGAACACCTGCATTTCATTCGTAACATGAGGACGAACGTCACCATGCAACAAAACCACCGATCGATTTCCGTCGTATGAAAATGGTTTTTTGTCATCTACTTCTTCAACCAATCGGGCAGACCCACTGGGACCTTTTCCTTCGAAACGACCTAAGTGAGTGTTTAATTTCGAACATTACACATCGCAACTTTGTCCCGGAATTCGAAAGCTCTTTTTTCTTTCTTTCTTTTTTTTTTACTTAGTATAAATTCTCAAATCATTCATACACTTATTCGATAAACTACATCAAGGTCTCTGATTAGGAGTTTACGAGGTGCGTGGTACCACCTCTTAATTGCTTGTGTTCCCAAGTCCACCCTAATTTGGGGTGGTAGCACCTGTTAGGGCCCCAACTATGGGTAAAGAGTTAAACCCCTAACTGGGGTCAAAGCACTATGAAAGTGTAAAAATGGATTTTAATACCAGCAATACATTTTTGGAAAAAAAATATTACCAGCAATACGTTTTAGAAAAAATATTACCAGCAATATATTTTTGAAAAATATATTACCAGCAATAAAAATCTTGTCAACATTAAATAACCCATTGAGGTTGATATGCTGCAAGACAAACCAAAACAAAACAAACGAAATCAAAGCTTACACTTACTGCATAATTATCGTAAGCATTCGTGAACTTTTCACAACGAATGCCCATTTCATGTTCAACCATAAGTTTCTCAAAGATTAAATAAAATTATTAATTTTCCTCAAGGAATTCTTTAAAACTATACCCTCAAAAGCATTAAAGAACAGGGTAAAATCCACAAATTGTAAGATTGCCTTAATATTGTGCTAAATATATTAAGCGGACCACAGTCACACTTTCTGGGATAGAGCGCATATTCTGCCATGTTCAACAGTTTTAAGCAAGACCGGTACAAAGAAATCCACAGCCACGATGACTTGTGATTTCGTGCTGGCACAAGCAACGATGACATCCGAATAGTTCCATCTATCATAACTTGGGCCAACCTGCAGTAGCGTTTCTAGGTACTTTCCAATGGTGTCGCACGCTGGGATCATCTCCTCCAGGGGGATATTATGAAGAAGTTACCTTTCTGACACATCAGCCATGGAAACATACGAACCCGCTGGGTGTCATGGTCGGAAGAGTAACTATGTGTGTGGTGAGATATATGTATATGTATGTTGGGCTTTGTGTATGTACCCGTATGTGTACGTGCATATGCAAGTATTAAGGCAACAATCATTTCTTTAATTTAAGGCTATGTAAAATTCATAAAGAATTCTTCAACTCCTCCTTTCTTGTTCACACACATGAGTTTGTTATAATATATATATATATATATTATATGAAGAAATATAGTTTTTAGGTGTGCTATATTTATAGGATAAAGTACTCAATATCAGAGATAGAGCGTATGTAAATATAAATATAAGAGTAAACATTGAAGTCAACACTCAGAGGCGACAGGCTGCTTCATACTGGACGCAATCGTCAGGCGTCGTGACGATTGCGTCTACCATTAAACAGCCTGTCGCCTCTAATTGTTAACTCAATGTTCACTTATATATATATATATATGTCTGTGTGTGCTTATATGCTTATATATATATATATATATATATATATATATATATATATATATATAACAAGCGTCCGAGTGATTAGAACGTACGCATTCTGACCATGAGACCTGCGTTCGAATCTCACCATAGTCGATTTGTCAGGAAGGAGACGTCCTGATATTATCGGACTGGGGGGGTGATCCATGCGTGCAGTACCTTTGGAAAAGGCCTGAAAACCATACCATGGGTTGACCGAAGCCTTGTGAATGAAATTGGGTAGACGGACCCCTTGGGGACCGTCGATAGCTGTGCTAGCACGAAGTTACAAGTCATCGTGGCCAAGGGCTTGAGTGTGCTGGTCTTGTTCAAATTTTTGATCACTCTAGATGACACACTCTTTCCTAGAAACTGTAACTAAGGTCTGCTCAGCATAGTTGCAGTATAAACCACAGGTTGGCTCTGTGGGTGTTGAATAAACAAATGCGCCTGGGCAAGCGTCTACAGTAAGGATTGTCTAGCCGCCCTATTAGACGGTTATCCTTGAATACGGATGGCCAGCTATATATATATATATATATATATATATATATATATATATATATATATATATATATATATATCAAGGACGTCGCTACTATCTATATATCTACATTTTGTTCCTTACCATTAGCACAATATCAGCATTTAAATCTTATAACGACCAGCAGTTTTCGATATGACCTTGACGATTGCCTCGTTCATGAAAGTGAAAATCGTGCATACGGTGAGGAACAAAATGTATATTTATGTTTATTAGAAAACTAGAACGCTCA